CAAACCCAAACCCTTTAAAGTAATTTTTGAAATTAATAATATATATTAAATAAATTAAAATTTAACTTTTTGTTTTTTTAAACTTACTATTCTATTTATAATTTTGAAAACAATTTTGAAAAATAAAATATTATTCGAAGATTATATTATAATTAAATTTATAATATTGTATTCTAAATAAATTCATTTAAATTATAAGCTTAAGATGTTTGAAATTTATTGTGGTTTCAGGATGATTAAAATGTATCGTAATCATTTGTTTGATATTGGTATTAATATAAATTTTAATAATTAAATATTAAATTGAGAATTTAATTAATGCGTAATTAAATACAAGAATTGATGGCTTAATTATTTGATATTTGATAATTATCATTACGAAGTTTATTACGCTATTTTGATTTTAGTATTAAATATTGTAAAAATAACAATTATTTAATTGTTTATTAATTATTTATTAATTATTTAATGCTTGTGCATGAAGACAATAATTAAAATGGTCCTGATGAATTGAAATAGTTGACTTATGATGAAGCATTAACTTAAGTTGGTGGTGCAGGGTTATATTAAAAAAGAGCATTTCTGATATTTGGTTTATAGTGGATGATTACAAAGTATGACTAGAATTCCACATTTTTAGTTGGATATTATTTTCACCAGTTTTCTTTTTTATAGAACCCACAGTTGATTGTAAATACAATGGAGAATGTTTGAGTGAATGTACTTCTGAATCATTAGACGAGAAATGTCTAAATTATGTTTGCGTATATTATATGATTGATGTAGGGTGATTCTGAACGTAGAGAGTTTGTTATTGGCGAATCACTAAATACAGCTTTTAATGCTTTGTTACCTTGTAACAAATAACTGCAATCAATTATAAAATCTATTGTATATATTGGATCTTTATCTGGATTTTTTGTTTTTTCATTTATTGCAGATAATTATGGACGTAAATTGGCTCTTTCTATATCTTGGGGTATGGCAACTTTAGGTTCACTCTTACTGGCTGTATATAATTTAATTATAAAAAGTTTGCTATGAATTATTCAATGATAGCCATCGGAATATTTCTATTAGGTTTTGGAGGGAATCCAGCAATAACTGTACATTATTCATTTATTAATGAACATTCACGTAATCATTGAAAATATATTATTATAGAAGGTCATTTTAGAGAATTTTAGAATGTTGGAGTATAGGTATTTTTTGGTGTTGGAGAATTTACAATAATAACCTTAGCCTATTTTATAACTAAATGGAGATGGTTAGCAATATCAGTTGCAATACCAACAGTTTTATTAAATCTTTGTAATTTTCTGATTTTTGAATCTCCTTAATTTCTATACTCAAAAAACAAGAAAAAATGTGTCAAGATTCTTAATTAAATAGCTAAAATAAATGGAACATAACCACTTGCAATAAACGATTTAATATCAAATCCATAAAGTAAGGAGAATAATTCAAGAGTTTATACTGTTTGGGATTTATTGAAATATAAATCATTAAGATATGTATTTTTTGCAGGATTAATGATGTTCTTTGCTATTTAAGTAACTTATTATGGAATTAGTTTTGTTAGTGATTAATTAGGTCTAGATTTCTTTCTTAGTAATTTCATTATTGCATTCTTTGAACTCTTAGCTTATGCAACAACAGGTATAATATCTTTTTATCTTTAGATTTCTTTATAACTAAATTGAAAAGAAAGAAAAATATTATAGGTGGTTTCTTTATTGTAGGATTTATGAGTCTATACTTTATATTCAAAAGTGATCATATTTTATATAGAGTATTTCAAGGCATTTTAGCAGGAGTATTTACTTTTTATATTTAATAAATAGTTAATGAGATTTTTAATCTGTGTTGTTTGGGCATTAGGATATGTTTATGTATCTGAATTATTTCCATCCGTAGTTAGATCTTTAGCTTTATGTTTGATATCAGCTGGAGGTTCATTAGGAAGTATTGTTTAAGCATTCCTAATTAATATTTGTGCTTCAATTAATATTCATCCTATGGTTGCTTTTGGATTTATTGCATTTTTATGTTCATTGCTTTTATTTCCTTTAAGAGAAACTTTGCATTAACCTTTATTAGAAAAAATAGAAGAAGATAAGGATAGAATCAGAAAGAGCATGCTTTAAGTCAATGAATCAGAAGAAATTACAACATCTATTCCTACTCTTAATAGTAAAGAAAAATGAGATTTGTTAATTTCTATTTGTTTATTATTAAATAAATGACAGATTTTATAATTTTAATATTGTTTAATTTTAATCTCCCTTGAATATTTTTCTTTTTATCTTTTAATTAATTGAGAAATTAATATAAGGAGATTGATTTTTTAAAATATATTTATCAAACAAATTATAAAGAATTCTATTTTGTTTTGATTCTTAAATTAATAATTATTAAAATTTTTAATTAATCTTTAAATTTCATTTAAATTAATAAAAAATTCTGTTAAATAGTTAATTAAAATTATAATTCAAAGGAATGAGTGAAAATGTGTAAAATAGAGTAACAGGTATTTTCGAGAAATTGAATAACATCTAGAATTAAGTGCAAGATGAGTAATAAATTGTCACAAATAAATAATAGAAAAAATAGTAGATTTTCAATAATTGCCTAATTAATAGCTTAGTTTGAATCTAATTTAAGAAATGCTTCATAATAAAAGGAAGCAATATTTAGTTAATTAGGAAATAAATTTAAAGAATTATAAGGATTTTTAGAAATTGAAAATGATAAGTATATAAATAATTTGAAAATTAGTCGAGTTAGATAAGAGTAAGAAAGTTAAAAAATGATTGTAGATTTAGAAAGACATGCAAAAAGATTGTTAGAGACAAGTTAAAAAGAGAGAGTAGATTAAGAAAAGAAATTAACTTATGCAATTAGTTAATAAATAGATTTCATTTCTTAAGATGTAAATAGATAAGGAGTTGAATTATTGGAATCACATAAATATGTGGATATTTATTTAAATGAAGACTTACCAAAAATAGCAGATGATTTATAAAATGAAATAGATGAAAGAAGAGAAGTAGAGGAAAGAATATATCATTAATTTATGGAATAAATTTCAGATTTAAGAGAACTATTTGATAGGTATTATTAAAGATATATTAATAATAGAGAGAGAAAAGAAAGAGAAGCTAAAGAAGAAGATATAGTTGAAAGTTTAAGAGAAGTATAATTTAGAATAACTGAATTATTGAAGCGAAATAAAAGAGAAAGAGAAACTACTGAATAAGAAATGGTATGTTTAGTTGAAACTGTTATAGAGAAAATTAAAATTGAAATGTTAGAAATGAATATATGAAGTTTATTTGTTGAATAAATGAAATATTCTTTAATATCTATCAATAAGATCATCTTCCTGACCATGAAGCAACTTATTTCTTAAACATAATAATGACTTCATCTAAAATAGCATTCTCTTCTTATCTCTTAGCTTTAGCTTCTGCATAATCAGCTCTCTTTGCTTCTAAATCAGATTAAGCTTAATCTAATGCATCTTATGATTCTTATAATATTATCTTAGATTTAGCTTATTAAGCGAATGCAGCTTAAATTTACTAATTTAAATAATAATATATACAGTAGCAGTTCTATCAGCAAATACTTATTTTCTTTCATATTCAACTTCTAAATTTGATATTTCAGCTTCAGATAATGAAACCCATCCAGCTAATTCCCAAGATGCATTAATTTCATTTTATTTCAAATTCTCTAATGATGCTTCTAATTCATTTTGTAATCCTTCAAGAACAGCCAATACTTTTTCAGCTAAAGTTGATCCTGATGATTATTCCTTCTATATTTCAATTATTTACTTATTATTCTTAAGCTAATGCTAAGAATGATTTTATTTAATGTTCTTAGAACAAATTACTATATTACTTTAATTTTTCAGCCACTGATTGTGCTTAAACTTAAGCAAATTCAAATGAATCTCCATTTATAATATAACCAGCAACATCTTATTTAAGAAGCTTAATCACTTCAAGAGCTTCTTAATTATGTTTTATTGATTTCACAAATAATTAATTGCTGAAACATTAATTATCTTATAATGTTTCAATTTTAGCTGCTATTGAATCTCTTCTAGCTTCATTCCAAGCCAAATAATTCTTAGTTTGTTATAAAACTTATTCATATTCAGCTCTATTTTCTACAGCTTATTGGAATAATTTTTAATTTAAGGTTTTTATCTTTGTGAATTATTCAATTGTTCTAATATTATATATTATTATATTTACTAAGCACCAACCCATTCATCTGTTTCATTCTTTTAATCTGCTGCAAATTAAGCATCGATATTTGATTATTTCAAATCATTTAGTAATCCAAATACAGTGTCTATAGCATCACTTGCTTTTGTACCAGTCTATTCAAATATATAATGCAAAAATACTTATAAAAGTGCTAAGATTTAATCTTAAGTTTTAGAAGCATAACTTGTTGCTGCTAAGGCCAACAATACAACAATCATGTATTTCATGTCTGATAAACTTAATATTAAAAAACGATTTATATTAAAAACGACTTAATATTATAATCTATAATTATTTTCATAATACAATTATTATAATAAATTCAATTTAATTACTTATTCTCTCATTAAACTTATTATACATATCTAAAAGCAAATTATTTATACTCAGAACCGATAAATAATTATTGTTAAAAGAGCAATTTATAAATCCTACAAATTCATTTGCTTTTGATTTTTATAATATTGAATCAATCATTATACAAAAGTATATTTAGAAATATTATTTAGTCTAAAACTATAATTTATATTATTTTATTATAAATATATAAATTTAGAATAGAGAGAGAACTTATAATACAATTATGTTTTAAATATATTTTAAAATTAATAATTATTATTAAAGTGTTTTGTAATTTATAATTATTTTAGTTACCACATCATTAATAATTATTAACCAAAATATTTTCTAGTAATATAAAATTTAAATCATTCAATTCCAAAGAAATTCATATATAATATTAAAAAACTAAATCTTTATCAAACATTATAATGAATTAAAGTGATCTATATCTAATTGAAGGTTTAGGCCTGACAAACAAAAAAAAGAAATAAATTTACATAATTTCTGAGTCTCTAGGGTTAAAGTTATTAGTATCTATATTTATAATACTTAGGACCCATCAAATATGACCTTAAAGTTATTAGTGTATTGGAGTGATGAAGAAGCATTAATGGATTGGAATGAATACCTAGAAGGAACATGCTCTAATGGATTATACTTTAAACTAATTTTTTAAGGTTAAGAATATAAAATTGAGGGTTCTGCTGAATAACTAATCCAGTTGTATGATTATTGTTATGGAAAATTTATTTTTATAAAGAGTAAAATCTTCTAATAACATTCAATCATTTCATCGAATTCACAATATGAAGTATATTATTTATAATAAGTTTAGATGTATTTGGTGACAAATGTTAAAGATAATAAATAATATATTGAAAAAAGAATTCTTTCTAGTTCTATTTCTTAAGGGATGGAGATGTCTAATTCATTCTACACTTAATCTGGTTTTAATAAAATACCTGAAGAAGTGAGGATCATTCAACTTTTAAATGCTTAAAAGTGTCCTTATATTTTAAAAATTTTATCAATTTGTTATGATGGTGATCATTATTCTTTAATCTACACAAATGAAAATTTAATATCTTTAAAGTAGATGTTAAAAATACAAAAAATTGATTTAGCTTTGGCTGTTATTATTGAAATTGTAGAACAATTGTTGACAGGTATCACATTAATTTATTGTTAGTATTAAACATTTTTCAAGAACTTCAAATAATACACAATAATATTAATTTAGATGAAATTCATTATTCTATAGATTCTAACTCAATCATATTTAATAATTTTACTTACTCTACCTCTTAATGCTATAAAGGAATGCCTATGTAATTAATAATTCTATTTTAGAAAGGGCAATTCTATTGGTTTTATTCCTCCTGAATATTTATCAAATAAGTACCTCATTTCACCTCAAGCTAATATCTTTCAGTTAGGCACACTCTTCTACCACTTGTAATTTTATTCATCTATTTCTATAGATTATTCAAAGAAAATCCCTTTGGAAATGATTAATAAACCAAACTTAAAAATAATATTATTGGAAAATATAGTATACCTAATACAAAAATTGATAAGGATATCATTGAATTAGTTAAATCAATGATGCAAATAAATCCTCAAAAGAGAAAAACTCCAAAAGAGTATATGTGTTCGAAGATTTTTAAACCTTCTTATAGATCTAAAATTTCCAAAAATTCATTCTTATAGTGTGTCTTTCAAAAGCAGATTTTGAAATTTGATGAATTTTAAGTAGAAGATGACATTGCCTAAATTCATAACATCAAATTTCTTTCTTATAATAAAAAAAAAAATTGATATTTTTGTTGTATAATTTGTATTAGAAATAGGCACTATTGCCAAAGTTTAATTGTAAATAAAACCAATTCATAAGAAAGGTTTGTTGTTTTATGATCTTTCTGACATTTTAATATAATATTTTTTGTTAGTTTAAATATTTTATTTTTTGACTGCTATTAGGATTCTTTTCTTATATCTTTGAGATATAAATGACATATAGCATTATTGATTTTTATTTAAATGCTTATGGAAGATGGGAATTCTTATAATTGAATATGAATTATTTTTTAAATTGATATATAAGCTTATCATAAAATTATAATGATTTAAAAATAAATTATTAATAATAATGAAAAATAAATTAATATTTAAATTAAAAATAAATTAATAATTAAACTAATAAGATTTAATTTAAACTTATTTTTTAATATGGGTGTTAACAATTCAAATCAAATATAGTTTGTTAATATGCCTTCTTTCCAAACTCCTTTAATGGCTTATCCTTCAATTGTTGAATAGATTCCTTCTCCATCAATCATGCCATCATTAAATTAGCCTTCAAATTTTTCTCCATTAGTTAATTAAAGAGTGCCTTATCCATGCATTTTACCTTCAAAAAACTCACCTTTAAATATATTAAATATTTACCCTCATATCCTAACCAGCCATTTTCAATTCCACTTAAATCTTAATAATTAAATGGTCCATCAATATGTTCTGCTTAAAAATTAATCAGTTTGCCTTATCCATGATATTAATTATCATGCCAATACCCACTATAAACTTCATTATCATTTTAATCTGTCAAGACTCCAAATCCTTCTCTTGTAGCTGGTTCATATCCTTAGCCTCTATAAATATATCCATCTTCATATTGTAGTGCAAGATCTTATAATTATTAATCTTATTCATTATTCTGATCTGGAGCATACTATTATTATTATTATTATTATTATTATTATTGTTATTATTATTATTATTATTATTATTATTATTATTATTATTAAGGATTTTAATATCTCTAAACTAAATCTCTTGTTCTATCAATAGCATCTTAAAATTTTTTTTCTAAATCTTCATCTTTCTATGAAATCTATTAAGGTCTATATTACTATGCTTATTTTGGTTATTCAGGAAGTCTTTATTATTAAGGTTGTTAAGGTCTTGGTTAGTTAGGTGGTTGAACAGTTTTATTTTAGATTGGTTATTAAACTAATTATTATTAATATTAGGGTTGTACTTGTGGTTGTTAAGGTTATGTCTATGAATAGTATGGTTAGGGCTATTAATATTAAGATTTTGGTTATATATATTGTGGTTGTTATGATTATTAATATTAAGGTTATGTTTAAGAATATGATGGTTATGGTTATTAATATTATGGCAATGGTTATTAATATTATGGTACTGGTTACCGATATTATGTTTATGGTTATTAGAATGGTTATAAAGTTGGTTACTACATAGATGGATATGGTTATTGATAATTTCTAGGTAATACTTATTATTAAATAGATTATCTATATTGCTAAGGGATATTGAAAAGAAATTACAGGCAATTGAGGTGGATATTAAGCTTAAGTTGGACGAGCTGGACTAGAAGCATAAATAGATGGTTATTAATATGGTATTGATTAATAGCCTATTGAAGGTTATTGAGATTAAACTCTGGAAGGTTAAGGTGGCAAATTAATAGTTTACTATTAAGTTGGGAAAGATGGTTATTAGTATTATGGCTAACGATAACCCTATTAAAATATATAATTTGAAATTTACCTAAGGAATCTAAGGAGGTAATTATTATTATAATGGTCTGGGTTAAATACTAGGTTGAGGAGGATATCCTTAAATATTTGGTAAGGGTCTAGATGGTGATGTCATGTAAAAGGGTTATGAATATGCCATTTTGTATATGAATTTGATTTAAATTATTTTATTTTAATTATTCTTAATCTTATTTATATTAGATTAAATAATGATTCTTTATAAGATACTATAACGACCATTGAATAGATGTAATTATATAGTCAATAACCATAATCAAAGCATTCTTTTGTTTATTATCCATTTCTTATGATTTCTTATTTTTTACCTGCAAATGGGATTCTGTGTAACCAATCAGAGGGAACTCCTTTGTAGTTTTTAGGATTCAATTCAATTGGATCCAACTATTACAAATAATTTGGAGGTGGATTTCTATTAATTAATTAATTTCACTTGTACTTATCATCAAATTATTTCACTTCTTATAAATCAGCTGTGATTTAATTCTTTTATTCTTATTTTGGTGATTGTTTTAACAATGAAGGATTTATTTCATTTACTTTACAAGTTAATCGATTAGCCTTTTCCTTTTTCTATTTTAATTCTTCAATAAATTTATTATTTGCCTTATCAGGTATAGCTAATTGATCATCAACCTTTAATTTTGATTCAGATTAAATTTAAACTTTTTTATCTTACTTCTTTTTTGAATCCTTTGTTTTTTAATCATTACTTATTTTCGATTTATTTTCATTTATTGATTTTTATGTTCTATTATCTATTGCTGATTAAGGTCTCTTTGTCTTCTATTCAATTTTCTAATTTTATTGTATATTATTAGGTTCACCTTATATACTTCCTGCTTCTGAAGCAAATCTAAGTGTATTACTTAAATCTGGCTTCTTTATACTTAAATCTGGAATAACTTATTTACCATTAGAATCTAATTATTTCTTTAATTCTTAATAAGGTTAAGGAGTCAAAGGATTTCTAGATTTTAATGATTAAACTTATTCTGGATTTAATCTATCTTCTTCTCTACAATTTCTTGGTGGTTCTGGTTCAACATTTGCTACTGCTGCTCCTTTTCTTAATGCATTCTAATATGTCTATATATAATAAGGATCATTCTTATTTCTATGTGGTTAAACATTATGTGATAATAAATGTTATCCATATATTATTCCTCCTACTGCTGGTTTTATATTATTATATCCATATGGACCCCATGCTGGTTTACCAAAATAAGTAGTAAAAGCTGAATCAGCTATCCAACGAGTCTCTCCTTAAAATTTCTTTATTCTTTCCTTTCTTCTTTTCAATTTTTCAGCATCTTCTGGATTATTTGGATCTAAACTCTTTGCTTTCTTCATAAATTTTGTTGTCATCTTTTTAACTTAACCATCATTCTCTTAATCATTTACTTCTTCTTCCTCTTCTTCTGAACTTACTACATCATCCTCTTCTTTTTTAGATTCTTCATAATAAAATCCACTCTAAGGATGTGATACTTTGTATTATCCTTTAAAGTTTTTGTTGTTTTATTCCAATTAATACATTAATTCATTTTAATCTTTTATATCTTTTACTTAATAGTTATCTCTATATGCAGATTATTATTTTGGATTCCATTACAATGGTAATTTGTATTAATTATTACAATCATCTTATTCAGAATATTACTAAGGCTAATTGGATTACTATGGCTTATTATTTTAACATTCACATGATTTAGCAATATTCTTAATAGTTTTTTCATCTAATTCTATTAATTAAGTTATTAATGAATATTTACTTTATACATAAATTTAAGAATCATCAACCTTTAATTTTTCAATTTTTCTAAAATTATCTTTATTTTCAGTTTGCCAATGTTAATTTTCATGATTAATTCTAGCAGTAACCTTCTTAGTTTCTGGCTCTCTTTCAACTAAAATTTTCTTTTTAAAATCCCAAGGTTCATCTTATTCTCTAGGCCATTTCATTATATCAAACATATTTGGTTCTTCATTTCTTGGTTTATTTTTTTTACCAAAAGTTTTATTATCATCTTAATATAATGATATAATACTTTCATATACTTATTTAAGCACTTAATCTTTATTTTTCATATGACTGTTAAATTGGTAATTATTAAATTAATAAAATTTAATTTTAATATTATTATTATATTAAACTGTTAAGAAAACAAAATAGTTCATTATTAATCGATATCATCACTTTATAATTTAACTTCATTATCAATCTATTACTAGATTTAGTTTTCCACAATATCTTCTTGTCTAATAGTTTCTAATTAGGATTCCTCTTTAAGTTAAGTTATTTCAGACAATTCTTATTTTGTCTAATTCATTTCCACTTATTATTAATTTTCTTATAATTCTTTTATGATAGATTCATCTTGTTAATTAATTAAATAATTAATTTTCTCCAATTCAACGGCATCAATAGATTTATTCTTAACACTAGATTTAAAAAATAATTATTATATACTTGAATATTGGTTATAACTACATTCTTTCTTTTTTCTTAGAAGATATTGAACTATGATTTGTTGTATCACGATTAGATTGAGTCAAATTATTTCTAAAATAGATATAATAGTACCTAATTGAATTAACATATTATTAAAATTATTAATGTCTTTATAGTCTTTACATTAATCTTTTATTTTCTTTATAAGAATGAGAAAACTCATCTAATTTTAAAACTGGTTCTTAGTTCATAAGTCTATCAGCTAATTTAATATTTTCATGTTATATTTGTTAAGCTTATTGTTTACGAAAAGTTAAATTTAAATTATGAGGATGATGTAGATTTTCATCTTCACATTTATAGTAATCTAATTGCATTGGTCTATTGCAGATTTCTGTTATTTTTTAATATAATTAACTGTTTCCTTTATTGATACGTTCAGATTATTCTAAATTTAATAAAATCTTGATGAATATTACCACTAAGGTCAAAACGTCTTCTTTATTGTCTAATATTATTTCTTTTTTCTAAGATTTCAATATGTTACACTCTTGATTATGATTAAGTTTTTTTAGTTTTAATTTCATTCAATTTTTTTAAATGAAGATCATATGACCTATAAATGTTAAGAATAATAATTACTTTTCTCTGGAAAATATTTAGTCTAATTTATAATTATAATTGTATTAATGATTAGTTCTCATTATTTAAAATAAATAATTAATATAATGTAGCAACCGTCCGAGACTAAACAATCAATATAAAGTGGTAGAATGATACTTCATCCATCAATGAAGTTAGATAAATCAGCAGCATTTTTTAAAAGTACTAGAATTAGTTCATGTTCATATGTAAAAATGAAATAAGGTAATCCTTAAGTAATTAAAATAATTATAAAAAGGCTATACCATTTTATGAGATTGCAAATAAGACTCCAGGAGAACATGAAACAAAATCTACATATACAACATCAACATATGCGTATAATATTAAAATTAAATGAAAGAGATGATTATAAAGTTAAACCTAATTTGCATGTTGGTTCAACTAATAAATTATTAGAACCATATAATACAGGATCATTCAGATCTAGATTACCAGAACCAGATGCTCCTATTTTAACTAAAAATGCATCATAAGTAGAATTAGGAGAAAGACAGTATTTTTATATTAGTATTATAAAATATAGTTTTAATGTAAAAAGACATTTTCTAAGTACAGCTCATAATGTTTATGGAAATTTTGGAAAATTTGGAAATGTTACAAATCCAGGTATTTTATCAGAAAAAACAAAGTGGCATCATCATTTATAATAAAAATGATAAGATAATATATGTATAATCATTAATTAATATTATCATTCTGATCTTGATTCTAATTTTCTTTAGGATAACATTCTGGTATATGAATATTCATATTTAAAGTGTCTAAATTTAACATATTTTTTTAATCTCCATCTGGTTATATTTCTTATGTTTATTTCTCTTTTTCTTCTTTATTTTTAGATTTCACCTAAGATTTCTTTTTTCTTTTATTTTCAATTTAATCTATATCTATTTCACTTTATATATTTGAGATTTTGCTTCTTGTTTTTCTATATTCTATTTAATTTTCATTACTATCACTTTTTTAATTGTTTTTTTTGTTATTATTATTATTTTTAATATCTTTAATAATTTCTTTTTATTCTTCATTTTATTCTTCTTCATCTTGTTCTTCTTCATCACCTGGATTTTATTATTCTAATCCAAAATTAAATAAAAATTTTCTTAATTTATAATTCTTTTTATCTGTTTTAGTATTTTCAGGTAAATCAACAGAGTTTGGATCATATCTTTTGACATCATTTGATTTTTCTTCAGATGTAAATTTACTACTATTTATTTTAGTTAATCTATGTTTTTTTTAATTTTAATTTTTCATTTATGATTCTTTGATTAGGGTATCTTCAAATTATTTTTCATTTGATTATTCTGAATTATTAATCTACTTTTTCTTTGATTTTTTAGGTATAGATTTAAATTCTGATTCAGAATCAGATTAAGCTTTCTTTTTTTTATTAGATGAAGATTTCTTCTTCTTTTTTTTAGTTTACTCATTAGATTATTTATTTTACATAATTTCTTCTTCTTCTCCAAAAACATCATCAAAATTTTAATCATAATTTGTTAAGAAATCTTATAATGTTAATTTTGGTAAAGGTTTCTTTTTTAATTATTTGTTATTTAATGTTTAAGATGAAAACAAAGATGTTTGAAATAATGGTTAATTATCAGATGATTTCTTTTATGTATCATCTTATTCTGATTCTGAACAATCTTCAATATTAAACTTCTATTTAATCTTATTTATATTAAACATACAGGAGTGGTCATGTATTTTTGGATTTATATATTACAATAATTTTCATGATTTTATAAAGAGTTCTTTTAATTTTAATTTATATATATAATATATAAGTATTAATGAATTTAGAGAATCCAAATAAATTAAAATGGAAACAATAATACATTAGAAAATATAGAGATCTATTAGGAATTTCAAAGTATAATAAATAATAAAAAAATAAAAATAGTTTAAGAATATCTGAAGCTTAACCAATGGATAATCATATAACTCCAGGTTATTTGGATCATATTGATAGAGTATCAAAATAAAGATCAAGATCAATGAAATGTAATGATGAGAGTTTTTAAAGCAGAAATAGTTCTTATAGTGTCAATAGAAAACTATCTGAAATGAACTCAACAAAGATTTATTCAGCTGCTGAAATGAATTAAATTATCAAACATGCTAAACTTTGTGGATTATTACATAATAAACCTTAAGTAAAATATAATTATATATTAATTATAGCATTAACCATTTTTAGAATAAAATAGAAAACATTTTGAAGATGTTAGAAATTTATAAAAAAATTGGCATTATTCTAAAATTAGATAAGAAGAATTAAATTAGAAATTCAATAGAATTCCGATGGAATAACATTACCAATTTAAAATAAATAATAAAAAGCGAGATTTAAATATATAAAGTTTGATTTAAGAATAAAAAACATTATATTTAAGTCATAAAGCATAAACAATAGAAGCATCATTATCAAGTATTCAAGATTGATATCTCTTTTATATGAATAAATTCAATTATGAGTACAGTAAATTTTGAATTATGATAATTAATATATAAATTAGACATGATCAATAGAAAAACTAATCTATCCTATGTAACCAAAAATATTTTTAGTCAAGATTATGATTAAGAATCTTTATTTTAATCTCCATTGAAGTCTCCTGATAAATCAAAACAATTTCTAAATTAATCTCCAATGAAGTTTGATAGTATAGATAACTTTATGGAAAGTTAACATATTCTTAAAACTTAAAGACCTTCAGAATTTAATCTTAAGAAAATGTTATCTAAAATAGATGATTTTGAAAGTACATAGGATACATAAAAACCACATAAAACCTTTCGTTTTAGAAAACATGAAAATTTTTAATCTTAACCATTGTTAAAAATTGAAGTTAAAAATGATCTTGAAGACTTTTTCNTTAGAAAATATAGAGATCTATTAGGAATTTCAAAGTATAATAAATAATAAAAAAATAAAAATAGTTTAAGAATATCTGAAGCTTAACCAATGGATAATCATATAACTCCAGGTTATTTGGATCATATTGATAGAGTATCAAAATAAAGATCAAGATCAATGAAATGTAATGATGAGAGTTTTTAAAGCAGAAATAGTTCTTATAGTGTCAATAGAAAACTATCTGAAATGAACTCAACAAAGATTTATTCAGCTGCTGAAATGAATTAAATTATCAAACATGCTAAACTTTGTGGATTATTACATAATAAACCTTAAGTAAAATATAATTATATATTAATTATAGCATTAACCATTTTTAGAATAAAATAGAAAACATTTTGAAGATGTTAGAAATTTATAAAAAAATTGGCATTATTCTAAAATTAGATAAGAAGAATTAAATTAGAAATTCAATAGAATTCCGATGGAATAACATTACCAATTTAAAATAAATAATAAAAAGCGAGATTTAAATATATAAAGTTTGATTTAAGAATAAAAAACATTATATTTAAGTCATAAAGCATAAACAATAGAAGCATCATTATCAAGTATTCAAGATTGATATCTCTTTTATATGAATAAATTCAATTATGAGTACAGTAAATTTTGAATTATGATAATTAATATATAAATTAGACATGATCAATAGAAAAACTAATCTATCCTATGTAACCAAAAATATTTTTAGTCAAGATTATGATTAAGAATCTTTATTTTAATCTCCATTGAAGTCTCCTGATAAATCAAAACAATTTCTAAATTAATCTCCAATGAAGTTTGATAGTATAGATAACTTTATGGAAAGTTAACATATTCTTAAAACTTAAAGACCTTCAGAATTTAATCTTAAGAAAATGTTATCTAAAATAGATGATTTTGAAAGTACATAGGATACATAAAAACCACATAAAACCTTTCGTTTTAGAAAACATGAAAATTTTTAATCTTAACCATTGTTAAAAATTGAAGTTAAAAATGATCTTGAAGACTTTTTCAATAATAATGATAATACACCTATCAAAAAACAATAAAAAAATAATAATAAACAAAGTAAATTATACTAATTAGCAACATTTACTGACTATGTTGAAAATTTATATGGAAAAGATTGGTTTTAAATTGTAACAAGAAGACCTCGTAGATAAAATACTATTAAAGAGTTCTTCGAATTACTTGAATGATTTTAATTTATTTTATATTTACATTTATAATATATACATATAAAAGAAAAAGTATTACATAATATAATAGAATCTCAAATAAATATCAAAAGATACAATAAAATCTAAAATTATTCGATATTAAGTATTCATCTATCATTAATAAAAATACTTTTATACTAAAAACCTGACTAAATTAAATTTTTCAATAATATTTAATATATTATAGTAAAAATATTCAAGATTTCAAAATATTAAGAATTATATAATACAAACTCTAGTTCAGAAAATAGTATTAGTATTGTATAATTAATTTTGTTTTTATCTTATTCAATATATAAAAATAGGATTTAAAATTATAGTAATATTTATTACAATTATTTAATATGTCTAATTATGATCAATTAATACAAAAATTAGATTAAGACCCTTCTTTATAAATTTTGAAACATGACTATGCAACAATTATTGATAGCATGAAAGACACTGATTTATCAGTTAGGCAAATGATTGCAATATTATGGGCTGCTGAAAATGATGTATAAATTCTTTTATATTCTAGTGTTTGAAATTCACTTCTGAGATTGATCGATTGAATACTTAAATCTAATAATTATAATAATAATAACTCATATAAGAAGAAGTGGTATAAGAATCTATTTTATAACCTGAAGATGAACACTAAGAAATTTTATATGAAATTGAATAATAATTGATTTTCAATGTTTAAAAGTTAAGTGAAAATTAACTGATAAATTTTTCAATCTAAAAATATGATAAACTAGATTATTAGACAGCTATGGATATTATTACTAAATTTATTGAATCTAAATGTCTTAATAAGGAAGTTGAAGGTATTCTTAATTAATAACTCTAAAATTAAATGATCAAATATCAAAAAAAAAACTTCATCTTACAAATTGAAAATATGAAAATTCTATCTAATACGAATTCAAAAAACTTCTATCAATAAAAAAAACAACTTTAATCTTTTAATTTTGATAGAGTAAAACTTAAATTTCAAGCTATTCTTAAAGAACTCAAAAATTTAAAGAAAGAAACATAATAAATAAAAGAAATAAATAAAATGTAATTTAAAATGTTATTCCATCAAGATAATATTATAGATAAATTATTAACACATTAACAATTCAATATTATTTATAACAAAATACTCAATTAATTAAATAATTAAAAGAAATACTTTAATATTAGTGGTTAAGTTCAATAAAGTCTATTAGCTTCATAATAAATTGATAATAATGAAATTTCAATTGTTTTTGATAAATTACAATAAAAACTAATAAGTTAGATTGCTAAAACTGCTTGTTAAGTGACTGCAAATTTTGAAGAAATTGTTACATCTCGTTCAATAAATAATAATTATTTAGAATTAATATTGAATTAGACCAAAATCAACTTTAACAAAATCTTGAAATACAATAAAATGATTTCAACCATGTAATAAGAAAAGGAATCATTATAAATACAAATTAGATATTCAATGGAATGTTTAATTTAAAAAGTAACAATTACATTCAATATCTATATAGTTGAATGATGAGAACATGAAACTAAAATTAATTCATCTAACAAATGTTGTAGAAAAATCATTCAAAAAATAAAGTTAATCTAGTTTAGAAAGTTTAAAAAGTATTCAATATAAATGAAATTACAAAATATCAATCTTAATGAATGAAAGTAGGACTTCTTTTATGTTATTTTTAGAACTAAAAAAATATCTTAACAATTTTACATCTCTAATAAATTATGTTAAATGTTTTGATTATCTGATCATATTATTGTATTATGATTGTTTTTATCGATATTATTCTTAGATATATTATTCTTGGATATAATCTTGAGTTTCAGCTTATAAATCAATAAATCTTTTGTTTGGAGGAATAAACCACTTATTATATTAATTAAATTATTTAGGTGATGGTCTTTTATCAGTTTTGATCTTTAATTATAATTCACTTTAAGATTTAGTTTAACTGTGTAAACTATAAAGCGAACTGGCTCTTCTTGATTTATACTTATTATCAGGTTATGTTGTATTATGTTAAGAAGTTGAATCATAAGCATTTGTATTAACAATCTTATCGATCCATCTATTTTCATCAAAATTGCTAATATTTTATTTTCGAATCAATACAGGAGGCAGAATTGTTAATTATTTAGATTTTAATCTAGATATCAATCCAGCATTTATTTATTCAGAATTAGTTTCATTTTTATAATACATATCAAATTTTTTATTTTATCAAATTTTTAAATAGTGCTTTTAATAAAGTACTTTTACTATTGACAATAATTTTGTTGTATAATAAGAGTGTTAATGAAAATTAAAAAAATTCTAATATTATTGCAAATAAATAGTATTTATTTAAAAATCTATGAGTTGAATACTTTGTAATAAATTATATTGTAATCAATTTTTTATAAAATTTAATAAAATGGTTAATAAAAGAGCTTTTGAAGATTTTTATAGATAAAACTTTTTATAAATTAGGGATTGCTTTAATAGGAATCAATTTTTTAGTTTTGGATTGATATTGTTTTAAACATTTTAAATAGAAGGAATATTTCTTAATGAAAATAATTTTGAACCGTAAAAAAATGAAAAGAATAGAGGAATAATGGATGCGATTATTTGGATTTTAAAAGCATCAAAGTAAATATTAAAATTACATTATTAGAATTTATCCTTTATTTTAATCTGAGACAAATCTAAACCAAATATATTTTATAGATGTTTGTTTCTTAATTACTTTAATTGTCATTTCTTTAATTAACTTACTATTAGCATTTAAAATGAATAATTAGTAAAATTAGATAAACTAAAAAATTAATGGATTGTTTACATAACATTTTTCTGATTTCCCAATGAAAGTATTAACATTTTTTAAATAAGACTAGTAATAAATTAAATAAAAGTTTAATGCAAAACTGCTAAAATTGATTACAAATTCATTGTCTTTCTTTATTAAAACTTACAAATATATACTCCATTGGATGATCATCTATTGCTCTTTGAATATTTGTTATAATTATATTGCAAATGATCAATAATAAAATGAAAGTAAATTCAATAGTTAAATTAGATTGGATTTATACATAAGGTATAATAACATCAATATTTGTGTTTTTATTTTTTCTTTTGCTTGACCTCTTTATGATGTTTCATTATTTTGATTATAAATTTAAAAATTAAGATTTTTTGGGTAAAAAAGAATCCAATTTAGAATTAGTATTAAATATATTTATATATGCTTGTATTATAATAATAATATTTACTAAACATGAATATCCAAATTTACAATTATTATTAGGAGTATTATTAAATGTTATTTTATTACTTTTAAGTACACTATAAATTTTATATAGAAGACAATAAATTAATACTTTTTAGTCAATCATATTGGGTCAATTTATATTTATTTATATTGGATAAATATGTTACATAAACAATTTATTTCCAATAGATTTTATTAATTTATTGGTTTTTATTTCATCTCCAATTATTATTGGATTATAAATAATAATTAAGTAAAAATAGCTTAAGTAACATTTTACTTTAAGTCTAAAGGAATCAAAATATTTGGAATAATAATTAAGATAAATTTATGATTTAATAAAAATGACTTATTATAAAGATTGGAGAACATTTAAGAAACCTATAATAAGAACTCATATATCTCTATAATTACATAGTTTAGCAGCTAATCATTTAAGAAATTGTACAGGTTATTAATTAGATGAAACTTAATTATTACATCATAATTTTACAAGATAATGTTTTTGTAAATAATACTTTTAATATAATGAATAGAAATCTTTATTATCTTGGAAAAGAGATTTAGATCATGAAACTGAAAAAAAATACTTTGCATTTAACAATGAAAAACAATTTAAATAATTTTTGTTTGATTTAATAAGATTCTATTTTGAAAGATTTTTATAAAACAAATCAATAATGGAAAATAATGAATAGTTTTCTTATATTTATTTTCTATTTTAAATACAAAAAAAGCCAACAAAAGCATTTTATGAAGCAATGAACTTAAAATTTAAAGTTAAAAAATTAAATTAAAAGAGAGCTATGATTATTGAATAATTGATTCAAGATGCAAAATACAATTTCAATTAAATGATTGATAAAAAAGATCTTAAAAATTAGAAATACAATTTTAAATAAGTTTTTGATTTCGATTAAAATGTAGATAATGCAAAGTAAAACTTTTAGATAATACTGACAAACTATAAGAAATGGTATTTTTAATTATTAAATTAATAATTATAATTGTAATCTCTAATAGAGAAAGGTACAGAATTACAATAATAAATTTTAATATTAGAAAAGCAATTAAATAATTTATATTAAATAAATCCCGTTTCAACAGAATTAGATACAATAATCTATTTATTTTATAAATATCTAAATTTCAATATAAAAAGACCTAAAACAACAAAAAGGAATTCCCCATATGCAAATTAATTTGTATAATCAATGAATTAATAAGTATTTTAAAGAGATTCATGTATAATATATATTTCATTAATGAATCAAAGAGGTTCAATATAAAATTATACAAAATCTTTTAAATCTCTGATATTAGGTAATGATTAAGACATCAAAAATTAGAATATTAAATATTTCATGCCTGATTCTATTGCTTAACATCATGATATGTATTTGGATAATTTTATTGAATTGGGTCGAATGAATATTGTTATGGCTGAATAAAGATTTTTAATATTAAAAAATAAAGAATCTTTTATAATTCCAGTTCATGCAAAAGTGAGATTGGAGAATTATTCAAATAATGATTTTGGATCTTCTGCTCTTATTACATAAATTGATTAATAAAATTATTGTTTAGTTATAAGTAGATTAGGAATTTTAGAAGAAATATCATAGAATTTTCATGAAGATATAATTTAGAAAACATTCTATTGTTCACCAACTTAACTTAAGAATCTAAATTTCTTAAGAATTATGCCATGTTTACTTAGAGATTTATAAAAATTATCATAAACATAAAAAAATAATAATGATATTGATTTTGAATTCTTATAATAAAGTAAAGATGAAATCAATTATGATATTTTGAAGGAAGGACATATTTTAATTCCTAGATAATTTAATTTATCTGAATAAATATAATTACTAAAGACAAGTATGACAACAGATATATAATCCTATTTTTTATAAGAATAATAAAAAAACTATAATTATTTTTAAAATGCTTAGCATTATTATATTTTTTATGTAAAATACAAACTAAGAGTAATGAAAACAATAAATTCATTATATATAATTTTGGATATTTAACATCTTAAAATGGTTAAATCTGAACATTAATAAAAAGTTTTGAAAGCAATTTAGAATATTTGCAATGTTGATACTCAATAAATTACGAAATAAAATTAAACTCCAAAAATTAATTATTTATAATAAGAATCAGAAGGTAAAGAAAACTTATTTAAAGAAAAGTTTGATTTATTTAGAAAGTCATAATCATCTGAATATTTAGAAAAGAAATATTCTGATATGGATTAGAATTTATTAGTAGAGGATAATATAATGGTTACATAAAAATAAAGAAATGTAGAAGAGTATATTCCTATTTCGAGAAGGGAATAAGTATCATAAACACTTGATTCATAATTATTTACAAAATCAAAAGATGATCAGAAACTATTGTAAATGGATTTTGAGAATTCTAAATAATCTTAAAGATAAAATAGTTTTCATTTAGGATCAAAAAATCATATTGAAGATGTAGATCTATCTAATAAAAATTCTAAAGATTCAATAGATTAAGATTCTAGTTCTAATTAAAAAAGTAATAATCAGATTCAAAGACATTAAAATGATGGAGGTAGTTCAATTGGTAGTTCTTAATAATAATCAGATTATATTAGTAAAAGAAGAATGATTAAAGAGGTTTTATATACTGATCATCAATTCTAAAATAATACTAGAAAATAAGGTATTTTAATATTTGCATTAATTTTGTTAACTATTTTATATGTTCTCAATCTAGTTTTTATCATTATTACTTAAAATGTATTTTATAGAATTTAATTTAGAAATTAGTTATGATTGAAACAAATAAGCATGTCTCCAAAAATATTGAATGTGCTTTAAACCTTTTCATTTTAACCAATCAATATGAACAAATATTTCATAATTCTTAGATTGATGTTACTTGGTATAATTAATTAGAAAGTATCTCTATCAATAATTACTAATAATATATATAGATCATTTTAAATAAATAAAATAGTATTATACCTCAATCAAGTTTCAATTAATAATGTATTTATTTTATCTATTTAAGAAAATATTTCATTTCATGAGAATGATCAGATAATATAATTAGACTAGTTATTTATATATAAATTAATAGGTTAAATGATTATTGATTATTTAAATAATCAGATTTAAAATACTAGTAGTACATTATTTATTATTGATAACTATCTCATACTTGTTGATCAAATGTTATAAAAATTTAATACTTCAATTACAAATAATATTTATGAAGAAATCAATTTTATTTAACACTAACATTCATTAACAATAATCTTATCAGAAGTAACATTAAGTTTACTTGTCATCATTTTGATACCTGTTTTCTTAGTTATAAATAAATAAAAAAAAACAATTTTATAATTCTTTACAACATTTCCATAATCAGAACTTTAACAACGATTTGAAGTTTTTTAAATTTTATTAGAAAAATTAATAGAAACTAAATTTTCATAATAAGAAACAAATTAATATGATATTGAAAGTACACACATTAAAAAACTTGCCAAAAGTATCAAAGAAATCAAAGAATCTAATCATAAGAAATAATAATAAGGAAAATTAAAAACAATTGTTGGATCTAGTAAAATTTATTATTCTATATAGATAACACTCCTTTAATTATATTTAGTATATTTTTAATACTATTATTATTTTCAATAGTATCAGGATACTTTATAACTTCTTACATGATTAAATCTTAATTTTTAAATGAATATCTATACTTTTTTTAATAGAATAATATTTATGCTTCATTACAAAATGAAATTTTAAAAGAAAATTCAATTTAAAATATGATACTAAATCATTTGATAAATGAAAATACAGTTCAAGTGTAAGATAAATCAAGTAATGAAATTTATATATTAAAGTATTAAAATTAATTTAGAACCAATAAAATAATAAAAATAAAGCATTAATTTATTATTCTTTAGAAATGACTGATAAAATAACTAATGATGATCCTGAATTATTTGAAATACTGAGCAATAACATTTGTGCAATTTTTGATAGTCAATTAATTTAACATTTGTCAATTTAGTAATTCTTAGAATGTTTCTCTTATGAAATTTGTGAATCATTCGGAAATTAATAATCTGGAATTAGTGTAACTTTAACAGATTTTATAAATTAAGTGAATTAATTCTATGAGACAATAAAAATATTTGAAAGTATTTTTTACTATGATATAAAATTAGATTAAAAATTAGATCCACGAAATTTATATTAAGAATTATTATTATTAAATAATAGAGAAATGTAAGAAGTCTTCATTTATTTAACATTTACTCTTTAAGCAATATCTGATTATGGAGATTATCAAATAAAGAATATGATTGAGAGTCATTTTATGACTTAAATAATTATATTTGTGATAGGAGTAACTGTTGTTAGTATATTTACATTAATAACTGAGAAATGTTTTAAGAATTTAATATCAAATTAGATTAATTAATCAAAATTATTATTAACTTTAATACCATTTGAAATACTTTAAACAAATGCATATGTAATGACATATGTGTTGTAGGAATCAAAGAAGACATATTTTTGAATTATTATTTTATGTATTAATTTGAGTTAATAAATAAAAATAAATAAATATTAATTTATATGTTACTGACAATTAAATATTAGGGGAGAGTGAAATAATTGAATATAGATAGAAGAATAAATGTTTAGTCTTTATAAATATTATTAGGGCAATTATTTAGTACAAATAATCAAATAATTGGATTAATTGATTTAGATGGTAAATCTTAAATAAATAAAGTGTAGGCAATTATTTTGATTTAGTATAATTTGTTAAATAATTGAATTACACAAGATGCAATAGTTATACATTAGTAAGTGAGGATGGATAAAATATGGAAGATAACAAATTATAATAAATAAATATGAAACATAGTTGGATTTAAGATTATAATAATAAACTTCAATTTATAGATTTTATTTATGATTTAGAGGAATTTTAAAATATATTAGGAGATGATTAATATACATGCATATATTTGATTGATGAAAAAGATGTATCAGCATTTGATTTTCTATGTTCTTTAGAGTATACAATAAATAATCTAAATAATTGGATCAATTTTTATTATTCATTTAGTAATAGATCATAAGAATAAGTAAGAGAATACGATAATCAGAATAAGATATTATGGGTGTATAAAGGATAAAAGAGAATTGTGTCTATCTTATTGAATAATGATAAAAAGATAAAGTAAATGGAAGATATAATTGAAAAACTAGTTTAAACTAAGATTTATGGTTCAAGTATTAAGAATTCTAATGTCAGATAATCATCTTAAATTTCATCATAAAAATCTCAAGATAAAAGAAGAAGTAAATCAATTAAAAAATTGGTTGAAGAATCATAAATTAATAATAATTTTAATTCTTAAAATTCGAAACTCTTAGGTTCTAGATATGTTACTAAAGTTTAAGCAAAAGTTATTTAAAGAATACCATCAAGAGGAAGTGATATTCCAGAAAATTAAGTTTCTTATAATCTCTCAAATCTAAATGAATCCACAATAAATTAACAAGATCTATTATTTAAAATTATTGCTGATTTAGAAGATAACGAATTGTTAGATCTGACAACGAGTAGATTACTTAAAAGATTAATTATTGAAGAAAATAAAGAAATTATTACACTTTTCTTATAATATTAACAAAGAACACTTGATATCCAAGGATTATGTGAAAAACTGAATAAAATAATTGAAAAATCTACTAATCAATAAAGACCTACTTCACCTTTCTAAAATTTAAAATAAACTAAATAATAATAAATTAATAATAATTTATAAGCTTAAGAATAAATTAATAATAATTTATAATCTTAAGAATCAAATGAAGATATTAAAAAATTGATTATTGAAAAAAATAATTATAATTTCTCTTCTGAATAATTTGGTATCATAAATCATTTATGGAATCAAAATGATCCATTAATTATTAGATTATGTTCTGATATTTATCATAAAGAACTTAGAAAAGAATAAGCATCTTTAAAACCTTTATAATTATATGCTGATACTAAATTTAATGAATTATTATAATCAAACTTTAATAAATAAGAAATAAATATTATTTAAGAATGTAAAAATAATAAATCTGGGTCTATTTATGTCACTTTATAACATTTTAGATATGAAACAAATATCAATTATTTTATTAATGATTTGAAAAAAGCATTATAATAAATTCATAATCAAAATTAAAATTTAACTGAACCAGAAAAATAGAATAATTAATAATCAAAAGAAATTAACCTATTCAAATTTTAATCATTAAAAGCTCCTTCTCCATTATGTGTATTGATGCCTAATTTTTAAAATTTAGCTAATGAAGCTTTATCACCTCCATACTAATAATCTTAAAAACATGAAGAAGATAATTAAAAATATTAATAATATGGTAAAATATCAGATGAATTGTAAAGAGTTTAATTGTTTTAAACATTTCCAATTTAATAAACAAATATAACATAATAAATTGAGAAAGAATTAGAAATCTAATAATAAAACAATTAATAAAATTAACCTAAATTAGAATTATAATAATAAAAGTTATCATCAAATTTGGCTGCTAAAGATATTATTTTTAATGAAGAAAATTTCATTTCAAGAAAAAAAGAATAAAGAAATTAATATAAATAAAATATTGAAAAATTCTATTCTCTTTAAACTGAAAAAGATATTACATAAAATTTTCACGAAATGATAACTCAAATGGATTTGGATGAATAAAAATAAAAATAAGCTGAACAATTATTTTAAAATCATAATGAATTACTTTATGAAATAATTAAAGGATTTCAATAATCTCGTATAGTAATTAATACAAGAGCAAAGTTAAAGTAATAGAATTTTAATTTTTAATAGTAAATTGCTCTCTGAAAAATAAAATGATATTCAAGACTATAGAAAAACCAAGATGTATAATTTATTTATGAATTAAGTGAGATAATTTACATTGTAAAAACATTTATAAGAAAATGAAAAAATTTACTTATTGAAAATGTTTAGAGAGAATGATTTATAAGTTTTGGGAACATTAGAAACCTATTTGTAGAATCAAGATGCTCAAGATATGTTAGAAACTTTATAAATGATTGTAAAACAATATGCTAAATTTACAAATGTAATTACATTAGTAATTTTTAGATTAATTAATTAGTTTCAGATTAATCTCCTTTAGAATAGTAATAATTAAATACCCCTGTTTTATTAGGAGCTAAAGAAATATTATCAAAAATAAAGTAATATTTCTCAGCTGAAGAAAAAAATAGATTAGAAAGTATTGCTAGTGGTTAAGGAGAAACTAATATTATTGAACTCTATTCTCAATATTAATAAGATTAAGATTTGAATGGATTTATAGCATCAATCAAAAAATTAAGTTAATAAGATTCTTTCAAAAAATTACATTAAACAATTACTTTTGAAGATTTATTAAAAAAATTAAAAAAAGATGGTTTATTGAAAATTGATGACTATATGTTAGGTTTAATATGTAAGAAAAAAAATGAATAAAGAATTAAAGGAGTTTTTGAAATTTACTTGTATTCAAAAAATGTTGAGGATTTTATAGAAAGCATTAAGAGTATTTAAAAATTATTATAATAACGTAAAACAAACAAATATTATTAGAACTCATATAATAAACATTAGAATCATTTGAAAGAGATAATCTCTTACCTGAAAATAAATTGTTAAAATTAAAGGAAATAGTTTATGATTATCAAAAAGACTATCCTAAATTAGTAGGAGCATTTTCTTTATATTTTGAATAGTCATAATTAGATCCTAAAGGAGCAAAAGATGAGATTTTAGAAACCTTAAATATTTTTGCTTAATGACATTTTATGTTTATTTTGTAAGATGTTATGTATGAAATATTATTAATGCTTTATGTTATCATCAATATCACTTATATAGATAATCATATCTATCAATAATAACAACAACGATTATATGATTTTAATTATAAATAATATTATTCCTAACAAGATTAATTTTTAAACTATTAATTTTTATCCTCAAAAATAATATCTTCTCACTTTAAGAGAATAATAGAATGATTATAATTTATATAAATTTGGATATCGATCATAAATATTATAAGTATATTTATAAAGAATAACTATTATACTCTTTGAATAATTGATTAATCAATAAGAATAGACTTTTCTAATTTATTGATAATAATAATTATTATAATAAAATATATTAAAATGGCAACTGCTGAAACAATTGTATATATAAATATATTGAATAATAGATTGCACATGGAGTACCTTCAAAAAAAGAAATAATAAGCTCAAAACGAATTTTTCCAGGTATATTAAAGATTGAATGATTTAGAGTAACACAATAGAAAGGGAGCATTTCAATTAACATGGGAAGTATAAGGAGTATTTCCAAAGATTGCTTAAAAGATTGGAGTAAAACCAATCGCTGATGATCCTCCCTTAGTATAATATATTTAAGATTCAGCCTCCAAAACCAAAATATATACCACCTCCATTACCTTAGAATTATGTTCCTCCTCCTATAAAAAAATAAGGAAAGAAAACAGGGAAACCATAATTTATACCTGAGAAATAAAGTTTAGAAGAAAGCATTGCAAAAAAAACAATAAGACAAAGCAGAAAATCTCTGTCTAATACATGTTATGGAAAAGAATATGGAAGTTTTTATAGTATGGATAGATGTTTTTTGAAACGTGATAAAGAATTTATAAAAAAAGAAGTGAAAGGATATGGTAAATATGATATGATTAATAAGAGGTAATTTTTATGAGAAATCCCCTGAAGGTAGATTTGTTCAAGTTCCTATG